GTGCATCGCCATCCACAGCCAGTGCTCTCAGGTACAAGTAGAGTGTGCAGTTTGGAGAGAAATTGGTTTGGTTGGGTTGCAGGGTGGAAAAAGTCGGAGTAGGACTCGTTTTTTTCGTGCTTGTAATTTTTTTTCTTCCCTCACTGCACAGAAGAGATGCTACCGTTGACTTTTTTGAGGTTCTAGAAGAAGCCATATGATAACGAGGTTGTGCCCCCCCCGGATCCCAAATGTCTCTGAATCAAGGGTATCTTGTCCTAAAAATCAGGCCCTGTATCAGTTTTTATTCTATAGAACAGGAACAGGGAGTGTCAGTGGGGCAGGCTGGTGGAAGAAGATAGAAGCTGTTTAAATTTCTACTGTGTTCTTGGAGATACTGGCATTTCTGCCCTGGAACATATTATTCTCTGTCCTACGAGCACCAACGATGATTTATAAATAGATCCATTTGTTTATATTGTTCCCCGTGTAGCCAAACAACTGTTTACATTGTGAAAAGGCTTGCTTCATTTCAGGTTAGCTTATCAGAGCTGACCCAGGAGTGGCTACAGCTGAAGTTACAATGCTCTTGAGCAGAGCACTACTGGAGAGATTATATCAGTGGTTCAAACTCCTGGTTGCTGGCCTCTCTGTTTGCTTGTGTGTGCTTGTGGTGGAGGCATGAGATGTACTGGTGAGGTGGGGGGGAGAAGGGTGTGTGAGGATGTGGTGTGCTGAAGGGCAGATTTATGCCTTTAAAGAAACTGGTCTGTTTATACTTAGGTGGGACTTTACAATGTAGGAGAATTTAAGTGACTGTCTCCCGGTAATGTTAGGGCATCAGTTAAAGGGACCTGATGAACTTTGTTAAATGCCTGACAGACACAAGATCAAGTGAGAAGAGGGGGGTGGTGGTGAAAATATTTGCTTTTTCTTAGGAGCTACTTGAAAAAGGCAAGATTTTTTTTTTTTTTTTTCTCAGGATGGAGTTTTATTCCTTTTCCCTTCTTTTTCCTGGTCATCATGTCTCATTATCCTCTTCTTGTGCAATCTGTATCATGTTCATGAGGGGGACAAACCATCTGTTATTGAAATAACAATGTACAACGAGGGATGTTTCAATCCAAATGAACCATCCTTTAGATAAAAGAAAGGGTTGATTTTTCTCCTCCTTTCTAAATCACCCTGATTCCTATTCTAGGAGCTGCTAGATCAAATCATGTGATTATTATCCGCAAACAGTTATTGTAGATTTTTGACCTTAAAGCACAGTATTATAAATTAGCTTCTCTTACAATCTCGATTTTGCATATTTCAATATTTTAAGGCAATATTTTTTTTTTTGAAAAAAAGATTATGTATTTGCTTAAGTGCTTTTGTTTCTAACACTTTTTCCAGTACTACATTCCAAGTCTTTGTCACATTTTCTATGTTTTGGGTTTTTTCTGTAACTTCTGACAACTTTCCTTTCAATTAAGCCAAAGGACAAGGCTGCTGTCTTAACCATGAGTTTTGGCTGCAGTGCCATACTGGGGGTATGAATGGCTTCAGTGTATCTGGTGTATTTACAAGAATGCTCTCATAGGCTGGCAGAAAACTGTTGTTTGCCCTCCCAGTGCAGATTCAGGGAAAAATAACTCTGATCATCCCACAGTTTGATCTGTGCACGTAGACCTTTTCTCTCCTAGAGACCTCATGTGGCAGGGGAATGAGAACCTGTTATATTTCTCACTATGTTTCCTGTGGAGTAGTATTAATAGTTAGGCAGTTGAGTTAATCTATGGTTTGATGAGGAAATTTGCTTTTAACTGTGTTGCTTTTTGTGTCTTAAGTTACAAAAAGGAAATGGAAAACAATTATAAACCAACCCCCCACTCAGTTTGAATGGTTTAGCAATTCTGGTGTGCCTAACTTAGGCTGTGGTCAGCTGTTCTTTTTATAAGACAGGATCCTTTTCTGTTCTGCT